GTGCCTGCCCATCTTCAGGAATTTGGCGGAATTGTTACAAATTTGTTCAATTTTAGGAAAATATGATCATAACACCCTTGGGGATGGCGGGACGGGGTGAAGTCGATGAGAACTTGTGGATACCTCTTTCATTTTATAACATTGTCTCACTCACTCTCTCACTCCCACACTCTCACACACACACACTCTCTCACACTTGCTCACACTCTCTCTCTCTCTCTCAATCTCTCACACTCTCTCTCTCACTCTCACACTCTCTCACACACACTCTCTTTCAATTTCTCACTCTTCATACTCTCTCACACTCTCACACTCTTTCACACTCTTTCACACTCACTCTCTCACACTCTCTCACTCTCTCACACACACTCTCACTTTCACTTTCTCACTCTCGCTCACACTCTCTCACACTTTCACACACTCTCACACTCACACACTCACACTCACACGCTCACACTCTCCCACTCCCATACACTGACACTCTCACTCTCTCTCACTCTCTCACACTTTCACACACTCACACACACACGCTCACACACTCCCACTCCCATACACTGACACTCTCACTCTCTCTCACTCTCTCACACACTCACACGCTCACACTCTCCCACTCCCATACACTGACACTCTCACTCTCTCACACTTTCACACGCTCACACACTCACACCCACACGCTCACACACTCCCACTCCCATACACTGACACTCACACTCTCTCACACTTTCGCACACTCACACTCACACGCTCACACACCCCACTTCCATACACTGACTCTCACACTCTCTCTCTCTTCCTCTGTCCGCGCAGACACTTTGACAAGGACAAGAGCGGCAAACTGGACCACCAAGAGTTCAAGTCTTGTCTGCGAGCCCTGGGCTATGACCTGCCTATGGTGGAAGAGGGACAGACAGATCCTGAGTTCCAGGCAATACTGGACGTAGTGGACCCCAACAGGTGGGTCATTACTGGACATAGTGGACACATTACTGGACATAGTGGACACATTACTGGACATAGTGGACACATTACTGGACATAGTGGACCCCAACAGGTGGGT